GATATCATCGGATGGACATCACCTTTACTGCATATGCATCACTGCTATGCATCATTTTATTCTGGACTCACACAGTGTATATCTTTTCTTTAATCTTTAATAATAAACTTCTTGCTGTTAGAAATGAAAATAATTCTATGGAACTCAGACAATCTTTTCTCGTTGTAATTATAAGTTGTAAGTTGTAGAAATGATTATGTATGTATATATATATATATACATATATATATATATATATATATATATATATATATAAATATATATATATATATATATATATATATATATATATATATATATATATATATATATATATATATATATATATATATATATATATATATATATATATATATATATATACCCAGGAAAAAAGTTCTATAAAATTTTCTAGAAACTTTTGAAACTATAGTCTATAGAAACTCTATAGAATTTCTATAGAATGTCTAATAATTTCTATAGAAATTGCTATAAACTTTTTTTTTTTATAAAAAAAAAGTAAAAAAAAATATTCAATAGGAATTTTTATTGAAGTTAACAGAAATTCTATTAAAATTTTATAGAATTCTGTAGAATTTCATATAGAGTAGGCCATATGTTTTAAAAGTTTATGTAAAATTCTATAGAACTATATATATATATATATATATATATATATATATATATATATATATATATATATATATATATATATATATATATATATATATATATATATATATATATATATATATATATATATATATGTATAATTTTAAAAGAATTCTATAAAATAGAGTGCTAAATGTTCTTTAAAGAACAGAGCAATAAATTAGTATATTATAGATTGTTGATAGATAGTAGTAATCGATATATATGTATATACATATACATATATATATCGAATGTATAAATATTTAAGAATGCTCAAGATATATATAGTTATATATACTGTTATTATATCCTTATAAACAATGAATTAACAGATTTAAAAACAAACATATTCGGAAAACATCAAGTTGAAATACTTTTTTCGTAATTCGTATAAGTTGTTGTTCCAATGGACTTAAAATAATATGGGGAGTTTATTTGTTTTGCCGATAGGGGTTACTTTATTTTAGGAAGAGTTTATTTCAAAATAAATTAACTTCCTGGTTAATTTTTTACGCGTCGGGAGTTAATTTATTTTATGACACCGACCGTGAAATAGTTAGGCAATAGTAGTTCAGTTTTTCGACGTTTTCTCAAAATCAATTAAGTTAGACTTTTTGCAAATGGGCTCCTAAAATACTACCCATACCTTTTAATGGAATACAAAAAATGCGTCACACTGATAAAAAATACGAAACTGCTTTTATTTAATTGAGTACATCTTTAAATGTTTAAATAAAAAAAGAAAATACGAGTTATATGGAAAAAAAATAACGGTCCCAGAGGGGGTTGCCAAACTAAAACCCATAACAACCCCAGACAAACTCATTTGGGACTTAACTATACTAGCTAACTGGAAACGCAGTGGATCTGTTTATTTCACCATATAAAACAAAAACATTTGGTGATAAAAATAAATTTAATTTGATAATAGACTTTTGTGTCACGGAGCCTTATTATTTCAAACAATAAAATTTCAACTCATTGCTCTTGCTGATACATAATAATAACTCACAAAATTATATTTTGCACCTGCATGTACAACTTTTGAATCTTTAAATAAGTTTTTAGAGGCACAAAATCACAAGCGTCAACAAAAACAATTTCATTAAAGTTCAAATTTCATTAAGTTTAAGATTTATTCATTATAGTTCAAATATCAAACTTATTTGTTTTGTGTGTGCAACAAGTAAAAAAGTAAAGAAACTAACAATTTAATATTTTTTAAATGTTCTAAACCAAATTCCCATCTAGTTTGTATTTTAAAAACATTTAGTTTAAGGAAAAATTTCAAGAGACATTTTTCATTAAAAAATAATATCATGTTTTGAAAAAAAAAGTCTAAAAGAAAAGCAGTTTTTCAATCTTCAGCTATATGAAAATGACAAATTCTGATGTGTTATTTTGCCCTGCAAAGTGGGGCAAAAAGAAACAAGGTATATGTATTTGTCTAACAACCAACTAGTATTAATATTGAAACTTTTATTTTACAGGGTCATAAAATGATGTTAGATGATTTTGAAACTATCCAGTTCTTTACCAGTTCTGTTTTTATAAGTTGTTAATTGAGCTTTATTAGATCATTTAGTGCTTTGTTTAATCATGCCGTCCATTACTCTAATGTTTTGTCAAATTTTTTCCAACAAACAATTTTTCTATGAAGTTTTGAAAATTCATAATTTTGAATGAGAAAGGTGAGAATGCAATAAATATTTAAAATCACACTTTTTAGAAGAATATATTTGTTTGGAAAAACAAACCCTATTTTTTATTACTGTTGTTAAAAGTTCCGAATTTCAATAAAATAAAAATTATATAATGGTATAATTTTATTTCGGTAAAATATCAAAAACTTGAGTTTAAATAATTTATCAATTAATAATAATTTTTTTAACTAAGAAACACTAATATAACTTATTCAATATCATCTGCGCCGTCACAGCAATGCTTGATTTGTTCAAAAAAAAAAAACTATAAATAAATTTCTTTATAAGTTTTAATAGTAGTTTGAAAAAAAAATATATATATATATATATATATATATATTAATAAACATACGTAAACGTATTCTTCTCTGGTAGAATTTTTTAATTTGCGTCATGATCAACGACAACGTGTTGATTGTTTTAGGATCTTTAACCACTTTCATTCAATTAATAGGATTTTTTTTACTTTTCAAAGTAAAAATCAAATTTAATAAAATCCAATATTTGATTCTTCTCAATATTTGTTTGGCAGAAATTCAACTTGCTACCTGTATGACTTTGAGACTTATATTTACAAACCTAAAGGTTATAACAGCAGACATATTTTTTTCAATTTATAACAATACTGGCGCGACATTTCTATATTACTGCAGCATCTTCATTTTAACAGTTAATCGTTTTTTGGAACTTTACCTAAATCTTCGATATAACTATGTTTGGATATATCATATGATAAAAGCAATAGTGATAGGATTGTTTCTAGTGTCGTTAATTATATCAGGGTGTCTTTTAATTTTTAGAATAGTTCGATCACCGGATGAAAATATTGAAGATTTTATGGGTCAATACCTTTATCCAGTTTTTGATGGATTTATAATTATTGTAATATGCGGCACTTATGCTTATATATATTATAAATACCGTAAATTAAATTCCGTAAAATCGCATTTTGATGACAAAACAGTAACTATACAACGGCAGAAACGGGTTTGTCGCGGTACTTTATTTTTAAGTTTATTTATAACAACTTTTTTGTTATTTACAGCAGTGCCAGATATAGTTTTGTGCTCTTTTTACAATACGCGTCAACCAACGGATTTACTTTGGAGTTTAATAAATATTTGTTACTATTTTGGATTTATTCTAGATGTAGTAATATATACATTTCTTTCGCCACCAATACGTAATGAGTTCAAAAGATTGTTAAGGTTCATAGTAAAATAAATAGGAGGAATAATTCTTATAGTTACAAACTATATGTATTAATGTCAAATCGTTTGTAAAAGTTCAAATACTTTCTATAAAGTTTTTTATACTTCAGTTTTCTAAATGTTTTTCTTTTAACTTTTAATTATTATTTGAAAAGTATTCTTTTGTCTTCCCTGGTTTTGTATTTCATATAACTGCACCCATTTCGTAAGTCGTATGTTTTTGTATTTTATTTGTTTGTATGTCATAGTCATATTTATGTTTTTTTTTCAGTTATTTCGTATTCATTTTTTTGTTTTTGTTTAATTAAAAATTGTATTACTTTGAAAACAACGACGAAAAAATTAATTTAATATATATATTTTTTAATCCTACTATAGTACACTTTAAAATAATACCCGTTATATTTTAAAAAAGCATAACTCTAGATTTCGAGTTTTATACCGGGTAATTACTGTTATGTTCCATTCATAATTCGTTTGAAAAAGCATAACAGCAAATACCGTTATGTGTTTTTCATACGAATTATACTTTGAGCATAACGTTATAAAACACGAAATCTGGCGCTATATTAGCTTTAAGCAAACGCTATGTTTGAAAACCTGATATAACGGGTAATTACCCGTTATGTTTACTAACTTTAGTAACTTTTAAAGTTAAAAAAGTAAACTTTATTAACTTAGTTGATTTATATTTTAAAATGGTTATATTTTGAGTGTTTAAAGCCACCACATATATTTAAACCTGAATATTTTTTACTTTATTGATGAAAATAAAAACAAAAACAATAAATCTATTTTTAGTTTGATGAAGAGGTGCTACACCAGGTTGACGAAAATAAAGACACAGAGCAGTAATTGTGTGTCTAAATGTTACTTTGTTAAGCTGTCTTTAAAAGTATTGATTGGTGGAGTGTTCACTGCATCATGGGAAAACGTATTTTATGGGACAACAACTATATTTGAGAAAAAAGTTATTCATTATTGATTAAATTGATGAAAAGATATTCTTTTTTTAAAAAACAACTTATCCCAGAGGGCACACGGACATCCATATTACGTCCAAGGACGTCCAAATAGGTGGACGTACTATGAACGTACTAAATGCAACGACTTTCGTCCGTCCATTTCAAACCTATAAAGTACGTCCAAGCACGTCTAAAACAGTCCGTTCGGAGGTCCACAATAGACGCTTTTGGACGTATTACGGACGTCAAAATTATGTCCGTTTATTCAGCGTTTTAATTTATTCAGCTCATTCTCATACAGACTTCAGTTCTAGTTACTATAAAAAATGAAGTCTTGATATAAGAAATTAAGACTTTTTTTTCCCACAAACCTAAACTACTCGTGTTTTTGGCATTCAACACGAGTGGCAACCCTCATTAGGATAATAATATTAAGGTTACTTCATAAATAATTAAATCCCAGTGTTGACATTAATAATTAAAAAAAATAAAAATAGTAATATTTTTGACAATATTAATATACATATACAATCTAGCAAAAACATTATTTTTTGGCTCAATTTAATGTGTCCCGAATGGCACCCTCGATGTTGCTTGATTCATAACCAATTTGTCACCAACAATAGTATCTAAAGAAATAACATTTATCACAAAATTGTCTGTCAATCATAGAACATGTTTTAGAAAATCAAAAAACAAAAAACAAATTCAAAAACAAAGTAAATAAACTTTGCTTTTTAATTTGATTTCCAGAAAGTCAACAAACTAAAGACATCTACAATAAAAGTTTATATTAAAATACTTGTTATTAGTTTTAGAAAGTCATACATAATAACCCACTGCAAATATATTTTCAAATAATGAATAGGCAAAAATGAGCAATGAAGGGGAGAACCTTAATGAATGGGACAGTCTTCGTAAAATGCATTTTTTGAGGTTGATAAATTTGTTTAAAAATCACTTTGAAAATAGTTTGATAACTGTTAACTCTCGTACTATGATAAACAAAAACAAAAAAATTGATTCCGCATATGGGTATTGGTAAAAAGAGAGTTTAATAAGACCATGGCATTTGTCCCATTCATTAAGAACTACTCATTGAATGGGACAAAAAATTATTGAATGGGACAAATCTAAAAAATTGATAAAAGAAGAGAGGTCCTAAGTAACTTTTAAGCCAGTCAAGCAGTAAGGGTAGTTTCTACCATTAGGGAACCCGAAAAAGCTATAAATATGGCCGAATATCTGCATATATTGACAAACCTAAAATAGTTTTATTAAAAAATATATGTATATTAAAATTAAATTAAAAACACGAATAATTGTTTTTAGTAAAACAAAAAGCGTTTTTTAAATGCTTGGATATAATTCCCAGTAATGACACATTTCCAATAGGGAAATGAGTCATTGCCTGCAGCATCCCTATGCTAAATTATAAATAAACAACTTAATACCATATAAAGTATCTAGTTTACTTTCAAAAAACGAAATAACAAAGCATCTTATTAGATATTTAAAAAATTCATTGTACTTATGTTTAACCAAAATATAAAAATCAACAATTATTGCTTGTTGCAAAGTACATGAAATAAAAACCATCAAAGAAAGTGTAGAAGATATCAACAGTCAACTTCACATAGTTCACATTCATAATAACGCTTCTTGCTGTTATTATTAAAATTACCACATATCCACCATTGACAAGTAAAACACTGAATCCAAGCAGGCCCAACGAAATTCTTCCAGTTACATTTGCATACTTTGCAAGTATTTTGTTGTTGTTGGTTTACGGGTGCATTTTTTACAGATGACACAATTAAAAAAATCTGCATCAAAGATTTCTGTTTCTTTCCCTCTTTTGAGGTCAATTTTTCTTTTTAGATTTTGTGTGGTAATTTTACCAGTTTCAAAAATGTTTGCAGTGGGTTTTCTAAATGTGGGATCTATCGTATGTCGATGTCGTATCAAAAAACTTTCCAACCATTGCTTTCCTGCCATTTTATTTTGGTGCCATGACTCTGGAATACTGTTAGAATTTAATGCAATTCCGTACTTGTAGGCTAATTGCCTAGTTTGTAATTTAGTTAAACCATAGCACATATAATTAACGAAAGGTCCTAAATTCTGCCTAACAACCATAGGTAATTTCTTACACATTAATTCAGATATTAGATGGTTCACTCGAAAACTTAAGTTAAAAGAAAAATTTTATGAAACCCAAAATAATGATATTAGCATTTTAAAGAAAAAATCTAATTATAATGTTAAAGCAAGGTTTCCAGAACTCAAAATAATTTATAAAATCGGACAAGTAGATCCCATTAAACATTTATCAGTTAATAATATTTCATCGCAAGAAAGAAAAGCTCTTAAAGAGCTCAAAGAAATGAAAGATATTGTAATTAAAAAAGCAGACAAAGATAGCACTTTAATTGTGATGGACTCTACATATTACAGCAATAAACTTGTCAATCAAGATCATTGTTAACCTTTTTCACCACGATTCACAACGATTCCCCATGACCTTGCATTAGAAGCTTTAAAGTTCTAGATTGAAAAACATAAAAACCTAATACCTGAACAAGTTACAACCAATTTCATTATAGAATCAGTATCTTTTATTTTAAAAGATAATAATTTCCTTTTCAATAACCAATTATTTCACCAAATAACAGTCACAGCCCTTGCCACAGACTTTGCACCAGAATATGCATGTCTTTCGATAGGCATATTAGAAGAAACTTTACTTTTTCCATAAATTCTACCTACGTATTTTTCAAATGACGAAGTTCAAAGTATTGAACAATTCTACTTTAGATATGTCGATGATGGTTTTAATATAGCGCCTAAACATCTAGGTAAAGAAAAACTCAAATTGTCACTCGCTGAATTAAACAAGTCAATCACCTTTACAATTGATTATGGCATTGAATTAATTAAAAAAGAAAATATTTATAATATGATTAATTTTTTAGACATTTTTGTTATTCTTCAAAATAACAAATATGTCAAAACGGATATATTTTATAAAGAAACTAACACTACTGGTTATATAAATTTTAATAGTCATCATCCTTATTACACCTAAAAAAACATTCCGTTTAATCTTGCAAAAAGAATAATTGTATTTACATCTGATTATACCACAGAAAAACTGCGTATAGCAGAGCTTAAATTATGGCTGAAAGAATGCAATTACCCGAAAAATGTTATTGAAAAAACATTTCATAATGCAAAACTGCAAGGACCAGGTCAACAAAAGAAAGGTAAATAAATCTTTCCTTTAGTCACTACATTCTACAGTTACATAAACTGCCAGCCTATATTAATTAAAAAATTTTAAAATTTTTTAAATGTAATCATAGTCAAAATTTGTCTATTTTACCTGCAAGAGGTTAAAAAATTTTGTAACATCTACTGGTACTATCTGGAAGATTAAAATTCACGTTACTTGTAACAGCATAAAACTTGTAACAGCAAAAATGTCATTTATTATTTAAAACATTTATTGTGGGCAGGGCCGGCGCGAGTAGGGGTCACGTGGGGGGGGGGTGTGTGCCATTACAACTTTTGACTATCAACTATCCTATCGACTTTACCGACTATCCTATCGACAGGGTCTACATTTGCCGACTAACTAGTCAAAAAGGGTCACAGTTGCCGAATAAGAGTCAAATTTGCCGACTAAAAGTCATTGATGGGGGGGGGGTGTAACACCCCCCTATCGCGCCGGCCTTAATCGTGGGTCAATCAACATATACTGGAAAAACAAATAATTTGAGAAATCCTACAAATAGTCATACATCTAATGGTCATCAAATTGTATCAGTTAAATTATATTATTAGTTTACTGGTACCGACTAAAAAATTGAAATGAGGTGACTAAAAATACTTCAGCTCTTCTCCATTGCTCTAAAAAATAGCTTTCAGCTCTTTCCAATTGCGCTAAAAAATGAAACAAAACTTTCTTAGCTAAGTTTCCTAGTTCTTAAATCTGTAAACAAAGTAAAAATCCAAGAACAAAGAAACATTTGTTAAAAATATTATATTTAACCAAATTAAATCAAACAAAGAACAATACCAATTTTTCTTGATTGAATATGTGAATAAGAAACACTTTAAAAATTTTTAAAAAGCCGAGAAACTACTTAAAAAAAACATATGCAGCGTTGAAGTTTGAATGTTGCCTGGGTTGTTTAATTAAGTTTCATCAATTGTAGATATTTTTAGATAATTCATAAAAATTTAAAATAATTTATTCTTTTATATTGCATAAATACATCATGATAAATCTGAAATGAAAAAACGTAACGAATAAGTAAATACATAGAAAATCATATGAATTAAAACTTAATGTACCTGATAAAGATAAGCTGTTGTGTTACAAGAGTAGTATTTGTTAAACAAGAGTTACAAGAGTAGTATTTGTTAAACATTGTTATTTCATGTTAGCTTTTAGAAAACAATTTATGTTGGTACATAATTTTCTAAAAAATCAAATTGAGATATAAACAAAATGTATATATAGCAGAACTATTTTTCTTGAATGGATTTTAGTGAGTGATTAAAAGCTGTGAGTTCCAATAATGAAACTACCTAATCATTTTCAACAATAGACATTAAAATGAAGGTAAGCTAAATGTAACAACATTATTAACATAAGTAAGAACACTACGCAAAATATTATTCAAAGATATTGTGTTTCCAGAATAATTAATAATGAAGGCTAGACATCATCTTGACCTAAAGCAGTATAACCGCTTGACTGGCAAGGTTGACAAACCTTGTTCTACACGTTTGCCAAGTCACACCACTTTGAAAACATGGAAACAACATAATATAAACTTAAATACTAACTATAAAACACTATATGTTTATTTAACTTTATATAACGTATATAAACACATCATAAAACATTTATATACACATTAGATACATTATATCCTATTTTAAAAACACTTTAATAAAACAATTATATAACATATATTACCACATACACATATTTATCAGAAACTTTTTAACTTTGAATATAATATAAACATATATGCAAACTATAAACATATATAACTTGAATTACGCAAACAAAGTTTAAAAATAACATGAGAAAATCTAAAAATATTCATATATACACTGCAAAAAATGAATTTTTATTTTAGGCAAAAAAAACTTGTTTTAAGCAATTTTTTACTCAAAACATGCGATTTTTTACTTTAAACAAGCAATTTTTTACTTGTCAGCCTGGTAAGCAATTTTTAACTTAGTAAGAATTTTTTTACTAAGCAATAACTTTTTTACTTGTCAGTACGGTAAGCAATTTTTTACTTAGCAAGAATTTTTTTACTTATTAGTACCGTAAGCAATTTTTTATTCAGCAAGAACTTTGTAATTAAAAAAAGAATGTAAATTTCCGATTTCAAAAAAACTTGTTCTTAATATCGTAAAAAATGATTTATTTTTTTTTTGCCGTCGAAAATTGTTTTCCTAATATCGTTTATAAATGTATACACGATATGAGGAATAACTTCCCCGACATAAGCGAAAAAATAATTCCTTAAGAAAACGATATATTTATATAAATATAGGATATTTGCCATAAAATCCCTGGAGTTTTCCAGGGTATTTTTCAAAAAAAGAAAAAGTTCGAGGATTTTAGGTGAAATTTTGGAAAACCAATTTTTTTTTAAAACACAACATTTTTTCATTGAAAAAAGATATTGAACAAAAGTGTTATAAGCACTTCAAACGTCACACTAAACGATAAAATTTAATGTCTCCTAGTTCAAATTTTTGAATATGAAATCAATGTTACTTAAAAAAAAACATTTTTTTAAATCTTTTATTTTAAAAACGCCAGGACTTTTCCATGATTTTTGAGTAAAAACGA